CATTTAGTATCAGCTGACACTGTAAATGAATCAAGTCTGGTTGTCAGGCAGATTAGAGGATAAATTTGGTTAGAGATTAAGTTTGAGTCACTACATTGCTATTCAAAATCGTCATTTTTATGCTGCTTATTGGCGTCCCTGACCTAGGGACACATCATTAAAATTTATCGTTTCTTTACTTCCTTTTTATATCCTCAGCCTAGTTTCGATATTATATTTCTATATATATCTTTACTTATCTTTATACTTCTGACCAAATTTATCCATTTTATGTATGCGCATTTATTTAGGGCGTAATTTCCGTGCTAGATACATTGCGCGATTCCAACGACCTCGGCCATCCGCTTTGTAATCACCTTCGGCAAGGCGATTGGCTGGCCAACTACCTCTGCGACCGTATGCGCCTCCCTACTCAAAGCGTCTTGCGCCGCCTTACTGCTTCAATGATGCCTCAGCTTCTTGATAATCAGCTGGTTTGTTCTCGTTCCGAACCTGAAACCGCATTTCCAACCTCTGCTTCCAATAGAATGTCTGGAGGTGGTCTCTGCACTTACGACAATGTTAAGGGTCATGACAACGCATGCAATAGTGCCAATAACAACATGCATCGATCTGGTCAAACTCATGGGCTATCTAGGACTGGTCTCTTGGTCTGGTTGACTCGTGGTGCGATAACTGTGTCGCCCGAGTTGAGTTACTTTGCCTCTCTCCTTTCAAAGGTGTTGCAACCAGTTAGCAAGCTTCCACGCTATCTGGTGCCCTCCTACTTTGATCTCATCATCTTTAATGTGCATCGTCTTTTACTCCAAGAGGTTAGCTATGTTCTATTTTTTGTAGCTCATTCGTATTTTTTCTAATAAGATGTATTCCTTCTCACATTATCTGCATAAGCTGAGGAAATCGTAGTTGTTCTTTTTTTGTTCGTTTTTTGAATTGCTTATAACCAGACAGTTTGTTATTTCATTAAATAAAAGTTTCTTAACATGGTGATCCTTTACGTTTTAATTTAGTTATTTCTTTATCAATACTGTTAAGGCTATACATTTTTAATTTTAATGTCAGTTGAATAGGCATTTACTCCAAACTGACAGTGAAGATATTAAGTTATAATATTAATTTAAAAAGTACTAGTCAGCTTTAACTTGCTAACGATCAAGGTGAAAAGCAGGCTTTACAGTTTACCTATTCATAACGAATTTAAGACATAGCTAAACTTGATAATGAAATTATTCT